GAAATAGTGAAACGAGGTATGTGGAAGCTTGAAATAAGGTAACAGGACAAAAAACAAGGACGTTTCGGCATAAAGCCTTCATCAGCCAACAATAGAAATGAAAATACAACAAAGAAAAGAACACAGTAGAAAACTCAAGCAGTATTCATTCGTCTCTCCGGAAGTGGGAAAACAGGAAGCGAGAGAATATAAATATTGACACTGTGAAAAATAAATTCCACAATAATAAGTTTACAAGTAAGTTTACAAACTTATAGTCCATTCAATTATCTTTCATTTGATACCTCATTTTGTCTTACAAACCAAGCAATAATATTTTAAATAGCTTTTTAATCCCAACCTCTCATTACTGGTACCCGGGTGCGAATAGTCACAGCCTTAATTTATTGAACCACAAGATCATGACTCCACTAGGTTTCAGTCGAGTTGAAGTAGCTCCAATCATCCCCATCACAGACCTTACAAACTTTACTAAAAATTATTTGTAAATTCAAGCGCTAGTTTAAACAAATTAAAATTAAAATAATGCACACGTTCTAACAGTCGACACTAAGATAACCCTTCAAACTAAGAAGAGATTCAATTTATTGCAGATATTTTTTAATAGAAACGAATGAGTGATATCTGATCAACATCACGCAGCCTGCACAAAAATGTGTGGATAGAAAAGTCTTAAGAGTAATAAGAGACTTCGCTTACATAGAAAGAAAAATGAATTGTAAACAGATCATTTTAAATACCATGTTTACAAAGTCAAGCAAATATTTAAAAACAATTCATAGAAAAATCTTGAAATGATTGAGTTCATAATACAGGCCTTATAAGAATATATATATTTTTTTTTTTAATAACTTTTTTTTTAAATATGTGTATATCATATATTCTAGTTAACGCATACAACAGTCGTACATTGCAAACATGTTATGTGCCATACACTTCATATTTATTTCCTTTCATAACCCGGCCATTTAATATGTATAGCTTACTCTTTAAACAATTAGGACAATTTTATGTAAATTATATTAAACCAATGTATGAAATAAATGGATGTTCTATTTCTTTTAATCAATTTCTGTTTTTTCCTCCTGGTGGGTGCCATGGGTTATCACCACGCGACACAGAGACGTGTGTGCCATTGGCGCTAATCAAATTTACGACATCTATCAAAACACTAGAATCTGTTTCCACCAGTCATGGCATTCGCAAACGTGAGTGCGACATGTCCTTGTCGAGTTGATTGCACTCCAAAAATACAGTTTTAGATTCCATTGAGAACGTGAATGCAATTTTTTTTTACATAAATGTATGGTTGAGAATTTTCCCTCTTTCCTGCTTTAAGATCAAGTTCAAACTCTTGACATGTACAACAGTAACAAAAGTTGCTTGTTCTTATTTATATAAATAATGTACACAGCATATGGAATAATGTTCTTGTTGAAGCGAGGCTTGGAACAAATACAGCGGCTTCCATCCCCTCCCCTCCTAACCATTTTGGAAAAGAAAAGAAAAAAAAAAAAAGCAACATTTGGGCTAAATAAAACCTTCATTAAATTGATGACAGCTATTTGAAATGTTTAAAAACTCTTTAGGATTTCTTGTGGGGTTTCTAAAGAGGCCTATTTGCAAGCAAGCATTGTATGATAGTCAAAACATATTACATAAGAAGAAAAAAAATATAGCCGAGTCAGCTAACAATACCGCTCCTAATCATAACAAAACACTACGCATTGTCAGATCTACCTAATGATATTCAAAATACTCACTTCTCCCCAACCTGTTGATAACAAAATACTCACTTCTCCCCAACCTGTCGATAACAAAATACTAACTTCTCCCCAACCTGTTGATAACAAAATACTCACTTCTCCCCAACCTGTTCATAACAAAATACTCACTTCTCCCCAACCTGTCGATAACAAAATACTAACTTCTCCCCAACCTGTTGATAACAAAATACTCACTTCTCCCCAACCTGTTAATAACAAAATACTCGCATAGATCCACGTGCTGAAATAAACAGATTCAATTTTTTAATTTACCAAAATTCACATTGTCTTATCTGCACCTTAATGATAAAATATTCACAAGAAGTTATCTTGATGTTACTTATGACATCCACTATGTTACATAACCGGAAAAGATTAGCCCAGAGCGTGCTGACAACACCGTAAAGGATTTGAAATGCTAATATTTTTTGAAGAAAACTCATAGACTGTGTGAAAAATAACTACGGTACACTTGGAAATATTCAACATCAATCATTAATATTGAAATATATATATATATATATATATATATATATATATATATATATANGATATATATATATATATATATATATATATATATATATATATATATATATATATATATATATATATTTATATATATTGGGATCTTTTACAGTTACTCTTAAACTGCTGTTGGGGAAGGGGATATAAAGAGGAGTTTTGAGATTAAGCTATTGAATAAAGGTTTTCAACCAATTTTTTATCTCAGAGCGGCAAATGGGACAGCTTTCCAGGCTTCCGGCGCATTCCGGACAGCAGACCAGGTGACCACAGGGAACAAAGGCGACGTTGGCGTCTGACGTCATACATATCTTACACTGAGGCTGTAGTCGAAGACGCTTGGTGTTAGTGGCAGTCCCAACAGTCGTGTCTCCACCGGCGGGGACTGTTGAAGCAGGAGCATCTTTATCTCTCTGTTCAGTATCTCCATTGGTTTCACTTGTCACCGTTTCTGTCGGTTCAGTATCTCCGTTGGTTTCACCCGGAACCGGCTCTATATCTCCATTGGTTTCACCAGCGACCGGTTCTGTCGGTTCAGTCCCTCCATTGGTCCCAACTGTCGTCGGTTCAGCACCTCCACTTGGTTCACCTGGCACCGCTTCTCCTGGTGACGTGGCTGTAAGGTCACTGGTGGCCTCGGCATTACCGTGTTTTGTAGAGGGACCCTTGGAATCCTCCTTGGTTTGCGTGGCACCGCCTGATGCTGGCGGTGGCTGGGGCCTGTTCAGCCACATCTGGAACACATAGAGAAAGCACACTAGGATGAACACATTGTAGATTTTATTGGTTAATAATCTTAATATTTTGAAGTTTGTTGCACGTGACGGAGATCATCTGTGAACTGATGCAGTGATTTATTGGGATGATAAATACGTGGATACATAAATGAAAGAGACGTGCTTTGTGAGGAACTGCGTTGAAGCAGTGTGAAGTAACCAGACATTTTCGGAAAAGACCGGACATTTCAAAGGACCTCTGGACTAAATGCCTTCTATAGCAGACGTGACAAAACAAGAAACCAACGAGGAGTTAGTCATAAATCAAAAACATGTGTGTGTGTTATAGATCTCTATAAACCGCCCGCATTGTGAAAAACGGAAGCCCTCTATCTCTCTCTCTCTCTCTTCATCTCCCTCTCTCCCCCCCCTCTCCCGCCCTTTATCTCTCTCTTTCTCTCCCTCTCTCTGCCACCTTTCTCACTCTCTCTCCTCCTCTCTCCCCCCTCTCTTTTCCCCTCTCTCCCCCTCTCGTTCCACCTTTCTCACTCTCTCTTCCTCTCTCTCCCTCTCTCTCTCCCTCTATCTCCCCTTCTCACTCTCCCTCGCTCCCTCTCTCTCTCTATCCCCCCTCTCTCTCTCCCACTATTTTTCTCTCTGTTCCCCCGCTCTCGCTCTCTCTCCCTCGCTCCCTCCCCCTCTATCTCTCCCTCTCTCTCTCTCTCTTTTCTCTCTCTTTCTATCTTACTTTGTATTGTCCGCTAGAAAGCGTCTACACAAACCGCCCTTTTCACTGTCCCGTCTTTTCATTTCAATCCTGAACACATCGCTTTCCCATATTTCCTAAACAGTCACGTCGGTACAAAATGTGTTGGAGTCATTCTCTTACATCTATCTTTTTGTTAAATGATGCACTCATAATTACTACAGTCTATAATCCACCATTAAATTTCTCACGTCTTTACTAACTAGTACAGATTTTTTTTTAACCACCAAACCTTCACTAATCAATTACTCGACGACGAAAAGAAATGAGGATTAAAGGTTTAATTTTTTTTTGTTTTTTTTTTTTAATCTTTCTGACAATGTGAATTGCTGAATTTGAGAAATGCCATGCGTTAAAATCTGAAACAAGCAGGGAGGATTCTTTCCTGACGCCTTCAAATGTCAAGGTGACATCGTTCTTCTGTTCACGGCGGTAACAATCTTGAATAACTTTCATGATTTATTATTGTCTTAGCGCCTTTGTGGATCGTCATTGTAAACGAGTGCTGGACAATGTTCGAATATTGTAACTTTTTCCCCCTTTGTTTGTTGGCAAAAAAAATATTTTTAATTGGATGCAATTTCAATGAGACCTCGTCAACAAAAACACTTTGAAAAAATTATTTTCATTCAATAACAGCCCTTTCCATATGACTGTGTTGCAGAACTATATCCTTAAATCTACAATAAGAACTAATATAAATATATTATATTATATATATATTATATATATATTTGTGGCTGTTCAATGTCCGATTTCCCTTGCAGTCACAGTGGTTACTGGGTCCAAGCGACGTCTTTGTTTTTAATTTCACCGAAAACCTAAATGTAACAAAGATGTGTCATTCTATTCACAACAGCGAACTGAGTGATTGGTGTGCTCTTGATTACAACAAAAAAACAACAAAAAAAAACACACAAAAAAACAACCCCAATTTTCTGTCAAGTAAATGTTTAAAATTATCTATTAATTATTGATACATAAATGATGCTGTGTACTGTGTTGATATGAGCATAAAACCTTTACAAGGATGAACCCAGGACATTTATCGGTTGTACGTGTCACCCGGGTTGACACGTTAAGATTGTAAAAAAAAATAAAAAAATCTCATACTAATGGCTCACTGGCTGCCAGTCGTCTATGTTACCCACAATCCATCGTAACTTTTAATCTTTTCCTTTTCTTAGAAAAATAAAAAGCGTGATCCACCGAAAAAAAAACAACTTAAACTCACGTGTCCAAGAGCTTCTGGGTTGTATATGAGTTTTCTGTTATCCTCATACCGGACTATAATGTCTCCATCATCATCCACGGCGTCCACCGTGCCGACCTTCTTCATATACTGGAAATGGAAATAGAAAAACAAGTATTTAAATTGTGAGGCTGAAACTAGTAGAGAAAATGATTCACTTTATAAAAAAAAATGTATTTTTTAAAAATATAATAATATGAAAATAAAGTAATAATAACATTAAGAAATGTGATAAGAATAATCATAATAATGGAGTAATAATAATAATGATAATAAAAGTAATGATTATAGACAAAAAATGTGTTGTGAATGATTTTGCTTTTATCAATTAATTATGCACCATCGTTTTGCGAGATTTTATGGTATCATATAAACTTTATTTATGTGGTATCATACGATATTGAGTTATAGTGTATCATATAATCAAGAGGTTATTTGAAAAGCACAAAACCTTAGAAATATAAATAGATATCAAACACTGACCTGTGCCATGGCATCCGTCCATCCCCCATGATCTTTTTGTAGTTTCTTCATTGACTCAACCTTACCAAGACACTTCACTTTGTCTCCAACTGAAAACTTGGAATTCACATTGTCTGATCTACCTAATGATAAGAAAACATTCCCATTGTCTGATCTACTTAATGATAGCAAAATATTCACATTTTTGGATCTACCTAATGATTTCAAAAAATTCGAATTGTCTGATCTACCTAATGATTACAAAACATTATGTCTGATCTACCTAATGATAACAAAATATTCACATTGCCTGACCTACCTAATTAATACAAAATATTCAACTTGAGTTATCATCATCTCATGACAGATATCATAATAAATTATAATCTGATCTACCTAATGATAACAAAATATTCACATTGCCTGACCTCCCTAATTAATACAAAATATTCAACTTGAGTTATCATCATCTCATGACAGATATCATAATAAATTATAATCAGCACATGACAGATTATATGAACTTAGTCATCATCAACCCTGACGGACAATACTTTCGTTAAAAATGATTCAGCATAACCTCATTCTTGCAGACAAATTCAATATACTTCTAAATTTCAAGTCACTTCTTCAGCAGTTTACTCAGTCAAGTGTAAAACCTGTTTTATCTTAACCAGCCCAGCACAGGTGAGTTAACCCTGTATTACAGGGGAGTCTCAAACTCAATTCATCCGGGGCCGCAGGAGGTAGAGTCTGACAGAGACTGGGCCAGATCAAGTATTCCACAAAAAAGCGTTTACAAATTCAATAAAGTAAAACTGTTACAATCTGCTCAAACTTTAGTAATAACAAGTAAAAACTTTAAGGGTTCCTAAGGACTAGGCTTCACTTTCTTCCTCCTACTGCTTATTGCCAGAGACCTGACAGCGCAAGTGACCAAGCGGACAGGTTAACAATTTCCCTCCCTAGTAAACACTAGCGGCAATTTTAATAGGGATCTTTGAGACTGTATCAGATTGCTACGATTGACACAATTATGGTTGTGCATTACCCACTAACTGACTTTTTAAAATTTTGAAATATGTATAGGCCCCACATAATATTCGAAGCGTGTTTTCTCAAAACCGCACTTTGGCCGCCATGTTTTTCGCATAAAATGATACAAATTTTAACAAATTTAGTCCGATTTTAAAACGGTTTTTACCATTACAATCAACGCCAAAATCTATAAAAAACAAAATAAAAATCAGAACTAAACTAGTCGGTAAGGTTCGACTGAAACCGTCGCGGAGGGTCACATTATAGATTTGAGAATGGGGGAACCACGCGGGTCATATTAACGCTAAATTTGCTGTAATGTCGCGGGCCGAAAACTATCGTCTTGTGGGCCGCAAATGGCCCGCGGGCCGCGAGTTTGAGACCCCTGCTGTATTAGAATCCCTATTAACATAGCACATTTAAATGATCCATGCAGTTCATCTCTACTAACCTAAAACAGGCAAATGATCCCTGTAGTTGATCCCTACAAACCCAAAACAGGCAAATGATCCCTGTAGTTGATCCCTACAAACCTAGAACAGGCAAATGATCCCTGTAGTAAATCCCTACTGAAATAGAACAGGCAAATAATCCCTGTAGTAGAAGCCTACTAACTTAAAACATGCAAATGATCCCTTTAGTAGATCCCTACTAACCTAGAACAGGCAAATGATCCCTGTAGTAGAACCCTCCCGTAGCAGGAGTGACACACTTCAGGTCGACCTTTCCTTTATGTCCTAGTCGAGTGGGATGGATTCTGCTTGGATTTTCTGACCACTTAACATCTGCTCTGGTGCGTCCACTTTCTGGTGACCAGCTGCTGATTTCAACAACTGTGCCTTGTTTTCCATCCCCACCTTAGGTTGATAATTAATATTTTAAAACGCTCATTATTTTTGTAAGGGTCAAAATCAATTTCACAAAACATGGTTTCCAAACTCATGGATTTTAAGAGACCCAAAGCTAATTTCACTCTTAATGATTTCTTATGATCCGTACATAAATTACGTCACAAATTTGTCTTGATTACTAAGGGCTCGTCCATAAATCACGTCACAAATTTGTCTCAATGATTACTTAGGGTCCGTCCATAAATCACGTCACAAATTTGTCTCAATGATTACTTAGGGTTCGTCCATAAATCACGTCACAAATTTGTCTTGATTACTTAGGGTTCGTCCATAAATCACGTCACAAATTTGTCTCAATGATTACTTAGGGTTCGTCCATAAATCACGTCACAAATTTGTCTCAATGATTACTTAGGGTCCGTCCATAAATCACGTCACAAATTTGTCTCAATGATTACTTAGGGTCCGTCCATTAATCACGTCACAAATTTGTCTTGATTACTTAGGGTTCGTCCATAAATTACGTCACAAATTTGTCTTGATTACTTAGGGTTCGTCCATAAATCACGTCACAAATTTGTCTTGATTACTTAGGGTTCGTCCATAAATTACGTCACGAATTTGTCTTGATTACTTAGGGTCCGTCCATAAATCACGTCACAAATTTGTCTTGATTACTTAGGGTTCGTCCATAAATCTCGTCACAAATGTGTCTTGATTACTTAGGGTTCGTCCATAAATCACGTCACAAATTTGTCTTGATTACTTAGGGTTCGTCCATAAATCACGTCACAAATTTGTCTTGATTACTTAGGGTTCGTCCATAAATCACATCACAAATTTGTCTTGATTACTTAGGGTTCGTCCATAAATTACGTCACAAATTTGTCTTGATTACTTAGGGTTCGTCCATAAATCACGTCACAAATTTGTCTTGATTACTTAGGGTCCGTCCACAAATCACGTCACAAATTTGTCTTAATGATTACTTAGGGTCCGTCCATAAATTACGACAAAAATTTGTCACAATTAAGTCACCCTTATGAAAGATGGTCACAAGTTATTGACCCCACTCTTCACCCTTGTTGTCCTATTTCTAAACATACCCATTTCTACACATAACAATCTTTGTTGTCCAATTTCTAAACATACCAATCTTTGTTGTCCCATTTCTAAACATATCATCTTTGTTGTCCCATTTCTAAACATACCAATCTTTGTTGTCCCATTTCTAAACATATCATCTTTGTTGTCCCATTTCTAAACATACCAATCTTTGTTTGTCCCATTTCTAAACATACCATCTTTGTTGTCCCATTTCCAGTCTCCACCTCGTTTAACAGTGGCACCAGGAAAAATTCCGTTCATTTGAACCTTCTGACTGTCGCAACGTTTGCCCACGGATATTCTGATAAGAAACAATGATCACGCTCTTTAAGCTTTATGTTCTCAATTGATTAGGGTGGTTGAGTGATGCGTGAGTGAGAAACTGAATCTGTTTAATAGAGAGTGAGAGTGTGAAAGAGAGAGAGCAGGAAATATAGAGAAAGACAGAAGGAAACATTAACGAATGAAGTGTAAAAGTATGTTGATAATCATCAAAGATATTATAGCTCAATAGTGAGAACTATTTTTTTTTGTGGGTCAGATTGAGTGTCTTGTGTTATGTAGACGACGTGTTTACAGATTGAGTGTCTTGTGTTATGTAGACAACGTGTTTACGTCATCTTTCCAGTGAGTGAACTCTAGCTGACCCCAAGCTCGGAACCGCATTTAGGGTGTAGCTAACTAAAAATAGTCTCCCCTGACATTGTTTGCACTTAAATAAAAATTTTAGTATGACTTATTAGAATTCTGTAGAAAAATCTAGACAAGTCAGGAAAAGAAAACAATGCGTAAGCCCGTTCGAGAAATTTCTTTGAAACAGGCTAAATATAGTATATTAAGCGACAGGAAGGAAGGGAGAAATAGTTTAGAAATCTTTATAGAGATTTGCTATGCGAGAAAGAGATTTGTTTACTAAGATTTGCAGTGTGTGAGTGTACATTCCGTCTTCGTCATTTTATCTTTTCACAACATTGTATCTTCTTCAACATTGTACGGGTACAAGCCAATCATTATACCAGTCAATAGCTTTATTTGTTTAATGATTATTATTATAAATTTTGTAATGTATTATTAAAATAATAAAATTAATTAATTGTAATTAGCCCTTGTTTGGGCATCGTTTTCTCTGTTTATGTATTTAATTTATGATATTGTCTTTTGTTGTGTACTGTTTTAGTACTCGCCATCTACTTAAGTAAGAGATTAATTTCTACATACTGATAACAGCACGTAACACTTGCTTCTAAGACTCAAAAGTCATAAGGTTTATTGGCCAACAAGTTAACTTATCCGTTAGACAGCTTTCCGTGTGATCACTCAGCGTAGAAACTCCTTTCACTTTACACAGAAAACAGATATCATGTTCTTGGTGGCCCTTTCGTTTTTTCCTTCCCCCAACACCATCCGCCACCACCAAAGATATTTTTAGGACAAGGCCCCATGCAGTTATTCCCATTTGATGGAATATTTATTGCTCTGTTAAATTTATCTTCAGATAACAATCATTAGAAAAGCAAAACTAGAAAGTAGTCCTTCGTTACCGTTTCGATGTCGGTGTATTAATCCGCCAAAAGGAATGGGTGACGTCGTGCTGATCCCTGCCATAACAGTACGTGCAGAGGTTAAGGTCGGGGCATTCCTTGCAGTTCCATCGCAGGCCTTCGAAGCTCTGGGACTTGCAGTCACCATCGCACAATACATCGGGATGTCTTACGCCTATCATAGAACAGGACCAGTTCGGCCACAATGAAACTCACACAAAGAAAGTGTTCGATCTCATTTAAGTACAGTCTGCTAAGGAGAGTTTCTAATCGAGCAATATTATAATCACGTCTGCCATGGTCTTGGTGTTGGATGGTTGAGTTATATGAAAGTAAAGACGTGATTAAATACTTTGATTCTGTGAAATATCCTAACGTTCATTAACAGTTTTCTAAGAAAATAACAAATGAAGCTGCTTGTTTTACGTTTTTAGTTGCTTTGAATATTCATTTGTCCCTTAGCAATATATATCTATATCTATCTATCTATATATCTATATATATATATATATATNTATATATATATATATATATATATATATATATAATTGTGTTTTTTTAAACAGAATAAACAGGTAATTTTTTGCATATCTAAAGAGAACTGACCACTCTGGGCGCTGTCCAGGACCCTCAGGTCATAACATCCTTCCTGGCCAGCCCGGTACATGCATCGCTTCCCAGAATCCCAGACAACAAACACGCATTTCGACGATCCTTTAGGAACCTCCAGGACCGACGGTTCCACGACTGTTCCCAGTTGACCCTCGCCGTTGTCTTGGTCGTCCCACTTCCAATCTGGGCCACGAACAACCCGGTCGCCCGTGTTATAATTTGAGGCTCCCTTTTTGGTGTCCTTTTCTTGAACTATTGCCTTGAAGGGAAAGTTGAGAGACATTTATAAAAACAGAGGCACTCGTGGTGTTTTAAGATAGGTCTACAATGAACATTTAATTCTGAAATGGACAACGCTACCAGTGATGGACTCGCCCACCGGGACACCTTGAAAAATTCGCCTCGTAGGTCGGGCACATTTGGGGCGCCTGGTATGCCCTACAGGTGATATTTGGGCCACCTGCGTCGCTTCTGCCGTCGAAATGTGTGCCGCTTCTGCCACTTGGGCCACGTCTGCTGGTAATTTGGCCGCCAGGGGCACTTATGTATTGTCATTATTCTTGTGCATTGATAAATATCCACTTGCAAATTATGCTAAATAATAATAAGATAAGTCAAAGATAAAGTATAGGAGTGGCCCAAATGTTATAGAGACCTATGTTTTAAGTGAGGGGTTAGCCAACCGCTTTGAGTATAGTGTTAGTTTATTAATTATATCTCATAAAACAAACATGTCCTCTTTATGCCCGCATATCTTGTTAAGGTTAAAACATGTTCGCTACATAATGAATTTTAACAGACTAATAACAATGAATGCGTATATTTTTCCGCTTGACAAATATTGAAGATTATGAAGTTTTAACATTTGATGGCAAAAACAAAAAAAACGGTAGATATATTAATACATATTATCTCCTCAGATTTGAAAACCAACTAATACCTATGACCTCCTCAGATTTGAAAACCAGTCAATACCTATGACCTCCTCAGATTTGAAAACCAGTAGATATATTAATACATATTATCTCCTGAGATTTGAAAACCAGTCAATAACTATGACCTCCTCAGATTTGAAAACCAACTAATACCTATGACCTCCTCAGATTTGAAAACCAACTAATACCTATGACCTCCTCAGATTTGAAAACCAGTAGATATATTAATACATATTATCTCCTGAGATTTGAAAACCAAATAATACCTATTATCTCCTCAGATTTACAAACCAATCCACTCAGCGTTATCACTACTAAAAGACCACTCAGGGATGTTCCATTGATATCATACAGGACCTACAAGCCATTGATTGGGCTCTATATCAATTGCAGTTGCTTATCCAATAACCATCGTGTGCTCTGGGTTTTGGTGTATTGCATCGATTTATAAACTCTAATTGTATACTTAATCATCATCATCAGTGGCGCTACAGCCCACGTAGGGCCCTGGCCTGCTCCACCACATCGTTCTATTTGGAACGATCCATGGCTTTCCGTCTCCATTACACCAACGGTGTAAATCCTTCTCTACGTTGTATACTTATTTTTTTCTTAAATTGTAAATTATATTTTAATTTCTTTGCGTCTTATGACCACCTTGATGATAAGGCTTTCTGTGATCTTGGCTAAAAAAGACTTATCCCTCCTTGGTCACTCCGGTCCACCACTAAACGGATCACTTGGCCACTCCATAAACAGACTTCTTGGTCACTCCAGGGCATCACTGAACGCTATCCTACACTCTATATTACCAAATCAATCTCTTTAATAATAAAACAATTATTCAGACCCAGGATATAGTCGTATGTTAGTTTAGCCGAATTCTGTCTTGTTCTATTTTTAGCTGGATATAACTTATCTATTTACGTCAAACTAAATAAATCAAAAATAATATTTAGATAGAACATCGGAAAAAAACATATATTTGCCATCACCAAATAAGCTTCATTATAAAACGTTATCTTTGTATTATTATACTTGTAAAATATCGCACTAAGTTTACTACAGAAAGCAGTTACCGAATCGCCGTCTTCAGAACCTTGTAGGAGTCTGCTCAGTCCCTCCATAGCACCGAGTCCTAGACTGACTCCCAGGGAACCAAGACCTCCAAGTCCGGGGACCCCTTGGATGCCGCCGGCTGCCCCTAGGCCTCCAATCATTCCTAAAATGGGCTCCATTAGCATTCGTCTTGTGAGATCCTCTTGCATACGCTCCTGGAGACCTTGTAAGCTTTCGTCAGATCCTGCAACTTCTTCATTCATTTTACCTGTAATAATAGACACCATGACGTCAGGGCATGAATTTGAATCATTCTAGAGGTCAGGATAATCGAACCGATCGAACGATATCGGAGCGTCTTGCACGTTGGACTTTAAATTTGCCAGGAGTAAACTTGGCTGAAATCTTATATAAAATATGAGATTTTTCTGTAAAATAGTCATTACAGGATGGTCTAAGATAAATTTTTTTTATTTAGGCAATAATGTTAAAAAAAATTACTATTATTTATTAATACAGAAAGAGCTCTTTAAATTGGTTATATTAATTAACTTTATTATAAAATAACAAATAATAATTCACTTGGTATGGGTATATGTATGGGTGCATGTATGTATGGGTGCGACTGTAAAACTCTGTTCAATAGTGCGAAAAATACAATGTCCCCAAGAGTGCACTAGACGGCTTATAAAGTTTTGTTCCATTTCTCCTTGTTAGTGAGATTCTTAAAAACACTGATAGTGAGATTATTTTTTTTTAACGTAAATCGTATTTAAATCTGACAAAATAAATATGTTAGTGCCAACATCTAAGCAAGCTTTTTTTTTTTTATTTTTTTTTTTTTTTTTTTTTTTTTTTTTTNAAATACTGACATGACATGGAAGATTTATAAATTTTACACTCTAAATATTACAAATGTCAAGAAAAAATAATACTTTCTTTCAAAACGTTTTGCCTTAAAAGCAGAGGTGTAGCTATGATATTTTGCGCCCGGGACGAACGATAAAATTGGCTCCCCAGCCCCCTCCCCGTTTAATCACATTTTTCTATTACATTGCATAAAGAATAATAATAATAATAATAATAATAATAAGACGTCTTATATAGCGCGTTACCTCAGCCTAGGGCTGGGCTCACCGCGCTGTACATAAAAATTTTTTTTTCAAATACAATTTAAAAAAACAACAAAAAAACATCATTTTGGCGCCCATGTATCTTGGCACCCGGGTACATATGAACGCCCCTTGTCCCTCCCATCGCTACGCCTCTGCTAAGGTCAAGCATTGCCGCCGCCATTGTTTGACGGATTATTTCTAGTTTAGCTATAAAATTCTAAACGCACCACTGATTAATAGATACACAAAATCCAAGCAAACAATCTTGACAAGAGATTTGTGTTTAAGCGTAATTACAAACGAAAAACACACACCAATGTATAACGGTGAACACAAAGAGCTTGTTCCCAAGCGCAGTGACCTTATCACCTGCAAGAATTCAACAATAGATTTTGGTTTAAATAGAGTTTTAAGGATATTATTATTTTTTTCATTTGTTCTATATTTGTTCTTTATTTGTTCTTTATTTGTTCTTTATTTTTTCTGTATTTGTTCTTTATTTGTTCTTTATTTGTTCTTTATTTGTTCTTTATTTGTTCTTTATTTGTTCTTTATTTGTTCTGTATTTGTTCTTTATTTGTTCTGTATTTGTTCTTCATTTGTTCTTTATTTGTTCTGTATTTGTTCTTTATTTGTTCTTTATTTGTTCTTTATTTGTTCTTTATTTGTTTGACAGTTTTAGTTTGTGATGGACGGTGACAGCGTTTACAAGCGTGTTTTGTTTCAGCGCGTCACCTGGTCTGCAAGAAATCTGAACATTAAGTATTCCTTTAGCATGATTTGTTTTGTTGAAATGATGCACTTTTTTGTTTTTCTTGAAAGTGATGTACTTTTATTATTATTTTTTAAAGTGATGCACATTTTTGCTTAGTTAAAAGTGATGCACTTTTTTGTTTAGGTAAAAGTGATGCACTTTTTTGTTTAGTTAAAAGTGATGCACTTTTTTGTTTAGGTAAAAGTGATGCACTTTTTTGTTTAGTTAAAAGTGATGCACTTTTTTGTTTAGGTAAAAGTGATGCACTTTTTGTTTAGGTAAAAGTGATGCACTTTTTTGTTTAGTTAAAAGTGATGCACTTTTTTGTTTAGTTAAAAGTGATGCACTTTTTTGTTTAGTTAAAAGTGATGCACTTTTTTGTTTAGTTAAAAGTGATGCACTTTTTTGTTTAGGTAAAAGTGATGCACTTTTTTGTTTAGTTAAAAGTGATGCACTTTTTTGTTTAGTTAAAAGTGATGCACTTTTTTGTTTAGTTAAAAGTGATGCACTTTTTTATTTAGGTAAAAGTAATGCACTTTTTTGTTTAGTTAAAAGTGATGCACTTTTTTGTTTAGTTAAAAGTGATGTACTTTTTTGTTTTCTTGAAAGTGATGCACTTTTTTGTTTAGTTAAAAGTGATGCACTTTTTTGTTTAGTTAAAAGTGATGCACTTTTTTGTTTAGTTAAAAGTGATGCACTTTTTTGTTTTCTTGAAAGTGATGTACCTTTTTTGATTCGTTGAAAGAAATATACTTTTTCTGTTATTTGTTAAAGTGATGCACTTTTTTTTTGTTGAAGGTGATGTACTTTTTTCTTTTTAAAGTGATGTACTTTTATTATTATTTTTTTAAAGTGATGCACATTTTTTGGTTAGTTAAAAGTGATGCATTTTTTTGTTTAGTTGAGAGTGATGTATTTTTTTTTTTAAGTGACGTACTTTTTTTGTTATCTGTTAAAGTGATGCAATTTTTTGTTTTGTTGAAAGTGATGCACTCTTTTGTGTTTTTGAAATTGATGTACTTTTTTGTGCTGTTGTTGTTGTTTTTTTTTAAGTGACGTTCAGCTTCGTGGCTATTATAAGACTGACCTAAGATGGGGAGATGACTCTTGTAGTAAGGACCGCCTGACGATGGCGTGACACACTTGACGTCCAGGTTGCCGTCGTGGCCAACCCTGTAGTTCCTCGCTACGCCGTTGGTCCACTGGACGATGACCTCGGAGCGAAAGGTCCCGCCAACCAAGAACAGCACCCCAGAGCCGCTGTCGTGCATCTTCATCACCTTGCCCGTGTTTCCATCGCCACCTTCGCGACAGTTAAAGTGTTTTGATTTTTTTAATGCGTTTTTTTTTCTTTTTAAATCATCATATAATATTTTGGTAAACATTGGTCAAATTTATTATAATCTAATGATTAGCCTACTCATGCCCTTATGAAAAGTACCAACTTGTCAAATAAATTCCAAATTTTTTTCTGCTATAAAAATTAAATAAGGAATAAAGTAAACAGCCACTAAAAACAAAGCTTTTCGTATAAATCTTTTATGCATTTTTTTTATTTGCATTTATAGAATTGTAAGCAATTTATCATTTATTAAGAAGCGGTTTTATGTAATGGGTAAACTTCTGGCGAAAACACGTTTCATATTTCCTTCATTTTCCCTCTTCAAAAATCCATTTTATTTTTACGACATCCCCAAATACGTCACAAATTAATGCAAAGCCCTTAGCAACAGCTACACAATTAATCTCCACACCAAAACACGCTCCCATTGAATTAACATCCCCTCAACCCATGAAAAACAGGAAAAACTGATTTTTGGGATTGGAAGTGGAGCTCAATATTTTATAGATTATATTGTCATCTGCAACGAGTCTATGTGCCAAAGTTCAGTGTCAAATATTTGGCCTGGTGTCAATTATTTCGTCGTCTTAGGTCTTATGCTGATGGCGACTATAGTTGGTGTCTAATATTCTCATGTCACAGCTTCCACCTGGTCTATCTTCAGTGGTCTTACCACTCGAAGCAAACAACGGTAAAAGGGATCCTTGATATATTACTGGTTTTATTTCACGGAACTCGAGCACATCCACTTGGTAAGCTACACATCGAAGTTCATTCATAACTACATCTGTAGAACACTATTCCATTTAGGCGAAACATCTCACAGCGAGCTATGTGAACTATCGCTGTCGCTCACTCTATCTCACACTCAAAACTCCTTAGTTCACTCTCTCGTCCGCGAACATAATACAACCACCCTCTGAATCCTTCATTCAATCTCTCTGTGTATCCCCGCTCGACCCTCGTCGACACTGACAATCTCACGCCTCGTTGACTCCAACTTGCACTCGTCCGTGACATGAAAAGGGTCCACCCTCGCCCACTAGCCCCATTTGTCACCAATTCAAATCCCACACACTGCGTCTGACTTCATGACGTTGACATTCAGCTCAAAAAGGATGACGGGAAGTGGGTCATTTAGCCTTCCGACGATTTTGCCACAAGCGCAAGAAACGAAGCAAAGTTAAGACAAAGGGTTTAACAATGTTTGGGGCCGGGACATTTTGTCAACATTAAGTGCCGGTACGTTGAAGTTTATTTAATTAATGCTTGCCACACTTCCTAGTTTAAACTAATGACGTCGCCACTGCGATATAGGGCTTGTCATTTAATGGCGGAAATCTATTAATAGAACTGATGTCACCATTACTGATCATCCGGGTACTCAGCGCGGACAAAATGTCAACACTGTTCAGTATTGCTATGTTAGCGAAGTGTCCCTGACGCTTGTTTACAACTCTGTTTTACGAAATATTTTACACATTTTTTTTTTACTTCTATTTTCTGAAATGGGTCTTCATTGCGTGAACGGCATATATAACCGTAACTCTAGATACAAGGAGCGCCCGAACGATATGCTGAAACACACTATAAGCTGCCATGTTTTAAGCAATATCTGTCCGCCGACCTTCTAAAAATAGTACGCTATGACGTTTTCCGGTCTGAGAAATGACAAAGCCTATTGATGCTGACGTGACTTGGTTGTGTAGCGTAGTATCACTCTTCGGTTTCTTGGCGTGGGTGCATAGAAAGAAAATAAATAGCGGAACAAGGTATGTTTTAGGCTTGAGGAAAAAGTATAATACAACTAAAAGGAAGTTTCGGCTAAAAGCATAGAATGAGGAGGGCCACGTTTTAGATATAATTCAATATTGTATATGTCTTTTATTAATCTCCAGGTATTACGATTAACATGTATATGGGGCGACAAAGCCAAAAAAATCGCCCGGGGCATCGAAGCCAAAGACCACGCGGGGCGTCACAAACTCTAGCCGCCCAATGGTTATGTTCTTTCATTTTTCTGTGACAAGAACTATTTAATACGAGCAAGTTCCTCACCATCCTGATTCTCCCATCTCCAATCAGGTCCTCGACGCACGATGGCACCAGGAAAGATTCCCTGGGCTTCACGCTTGTCATTCTGGCTGTCACATCTCTTGGGTACAGGAACGCTAGATTGTGGTGAGAATAACATATGTTACGAGCAAACTGTCGGTACAACTCTTTAATAAATGTGCAACCATTGAAACGTAAAGTTGTTCTATAGTATTGCAATAAGATGTGATCAATTTTGTAAAGATTCTTAACGTTTTGGGGAACAGCATTTGAAGATTATCATTTGGGGACCCACATTTGGAGACCCCAATTTAGAGTCTCAAACTGGGAGATCCACATTCGGTGACCCCCTAATTTAGACGCCCAGACAGAGAGACACCAATCTATAGACTTCAGACTGGGAGACCCACATTCGGAGACCACAACTTAGTGACACAGATTTTGAGACCCACATTCATGAACACCCTTTGGAAACCCTCTTGAATAGACCTACATTGCTGACGGGCTGGCATTTCTTATTTTTCAAAATGATTGAAGATAACATGTGCGTCGATTACGACCACTATAACTTCTTTTACAGCCGTGCAATGTGTCAAACTAAGCGTCATAAATCTTGACGTTACAAAATCCAAAAAAAAATTCGCGCACCAACAATAGAGATTATATGTTACGGCCCGCTATTTCTAGCCTCTAGCCAAAGTGTTTACCCCGCAGATCTCCGAGTGTCTTGTCTCTGGAAGGCATGGGACAAGTCGTGCTTGTCGTTCATGTAGCATGTGGTACACAGCACGGCGCCGGGACATTGGGCGCACGTCCACCTGAAGCCTTCGATGCCCCGCTTGTGGCACTCCACACATGTTATAGCTGCCTCATGCCTCACACCTGTTCATTGAAAAAAAAAATTGGGTGCGTTACTTGACTAGATCCATTAACAAGTGTAAAATATTGTCATCAAAGAGAAAAGTAAAGAAGGAAAAAACAAAAAAAGGATTTTTAAAATACCTTCTACACATATCGTAACTAAAACTGCCGTTACCTTACAGTTGAGGCAAAGGGTCACCAGAACTCTTTCAATATAAGTAATTAAATCAAGGCACTGTTAGTGCAGAAAAATTATTAATAGATTTAAATTTTGGAAATAAATAATTTCATTACATCTTCAATTTTCCGAACTCCAAATTTTCAAAACGGCGGTTATCCGAACTAATTTTGTTGGATTCTTTTTTTTTTTTAAATTTTAACGTACATATTGCGAATGGCATTGTTGGTAAAAAAAAAAAAAAAAAAAATAAATTGGTGAAAAAACAACAAAAAATTTTTTTTTTTAAGAATACGCCAACCACCGAGATCTACACTCTTCCCCAACACACCCCTCTTCCAATCAATTTTAACGTAAAAATTGCGAATGGCATTGTTGGTAAAAAAAAAAAGTAAAATATACATTGGTGTAAAAACACCGAAAACAAATTCTATTTCAAACCGTATTTTAACAACAACCCTCTTATCCAGATACACCGTTTATGATAACTGTAGATGACAGAAAAGGCAGGTGAGCACCACGCGTGTGTAATGTACGAATATTTTCTACTCTATGGGCTGAATTCTTTAACCCAAACCTTTCCGTGGGAATGTTCGATTATTCTAAAAACTGTTTATCCGAAACAACATCGATCACAATGAGATTGAGATAAGTGGCGCCTTATTCTATAATTTTGTTTATTTTTTTTTCTTTAAACGAATATGCTTTCATTTCAACGCGTTTGTTGTCTTCTGTTTACGACTTTGTGTGGCAAGGGTGTCAAGTTTGTGGGCCATTCTATAATTTGAACGTCTCTCAAATATCCTCAGTTGTAATTTTAAACGTTATCTACATGGTCAAAGTTGTATCGAAACTCAAAAATTTTCTAAGATCGAATAACCCACGGATTATTAACCAAGGTACGCGATATCCATTTGGCGTTTGTTTGAAACTAAGTTAAGGTAAAAATGGCGGGAAAAAATCAACAATAAAAATTTTACGAATCTTACCATATTTTACGAATCCTAACGTAGTTTTACGAATCCTACCGTAGTTTTACGAATCCTACCGTAGTTTTACGAATCCTACCGTAGTTTTACGAATCCTATCGTAGTTTTACGAATCCTACCGTAGTTTTACGAATCCTATCGTAGTTTTACGAATCCTACCGTAGTTTTACGAATCCTACCGTAGTTTTACGAATCCTACCGTAGTTTTACGAATCCTACCGTAGTTTTACGAATCCTACCGTAGTTTTACGAATCTTACCACACTGAGCGTTGTCGAAGACATAGAGGTCAAACGCGTCCTCGTGTCCAGCTCTGTACTCGTGCTTCTCCCCCGAGTCCCAAACAACGGTGACGTACTTCTCGGGAACCTTCACCCCGTTCTGGCCACCGACTTCCGCCACTGTCCCCACGTGACCTTCACCACCGTCCTGGTCCTCGTACGTCCAGTCCGGTCCACGGACAACACGGAGTCCTGCTTTCATGTTGTCTAAACCGGAGGGAAAGGACAAAAGTCGATCACTGCTTAACTGGATTTAGAGTTTTAGGGTGACAGAATCCTAAATCTTTATTCATAGACATTTTTTTATGACAGAAAACTAAAACTGCTCATCATTTAAAGATGGTTCGTTTAGTTTTGTGTTGTGTGTGTGTGTGTGTGTGTGCGTGTGTGTTTGTTTGTTTGTTTTTTTTTTTTTTTTTTTGTGTCAGAAGCCTAAATCCTTCATTATTTTTTTTTTTTTTTTTTGTGACAGAAGTCTATATCTTTCATCATTATCATTTAGTTTGTGCCAGAAGCCTAAATCATTCATCATTATCATTTAGTTTGTGCCAGAAGCCTAAATCATTCATCATTATCATTTAGTTTGTGCCAGAAGCCTAAATCATTCATCATTATCATTTAGTTTGTGCAAGAAACCTAAATGGTTCACACTTTACCTAAATTTGTTACGTAAACGTAAATCGTTCATCATTAACACTTTGCTTATGACAGACAGCATAAATCGTTGGACGCTAGCCAAATATGCAAATTACATGAGCGTGTATTGTAATATAGCCTTCAGTTTTATATCTTTTTTTGTTTTATTTAAATGTATCTTCATCGTCATAAAGAGTTTAAAACTTTTTATTTAAAAAAAAAATAACAATTGCTTAGCCAAAACACTTTGTCAATTATTTTAAAATATGAAATTACTCTAAGAACATTTCTGTCACGCGTTTAAAGCTGTGTGACTGCACAGCCATTTTCCTTTGAAGAGTGTTTTAGAGTCATTGAGGCACAGAAATGAAATGTATCGTAGTTTGAAAAGCAAATTGTGTAAATGTTTCGTAATTTATATATTAATCATTTCAAACAGTTATTATGAACAGTTTTTTTTTAAATTTCTTTACATAGTTGTATGTCTCTATTGGAGACGGTAAACGATGGTTTGATACCCATACAAACCAATGAAACCCTGTAGATCTGTTCTAACTCGACAATGAGTTGGGTTGTTTGTTGTTTGTTTTTGTTTTTCGTTTTCTTTGGGTTTTTTCAGAACTTAAAAGTGTTGATTAAAATGGCGCATTCATTTCGCATTTATTTCTTTACAACACTTAAGGCTTAAAGGAATGTAACTCGTGATCTTCAAAACATACCTTAAAGTTTTGAACAGTGACTTGGCATTTTCCGAGATTATATCGGTACTAAGAAAACGGGAAAATCCAAATCGTCTTTGTGTTTTTTCCACGAATTTGGTGTTTTGTTTACGGTGCGTTGTCAATGGTAGATACAAGACCGATTGGAAAACACCTGGTGCTATCGTGTCTTATCAACGTATGTATAGCCTATCGATTATTTTGGATGGTCTTTTTTGAATGAAAGGGATACGTTTGCGGGGGTGGGAAATTGCAGTCGTTAGCAAAATGGAGTGGCAGTTGAATTCTAGAGTGTAACAAAGCTAGCTAAATGAAACAAAGGTAGACACTCTACAGAGTATACGTTCAACAATGGTTGACATTCTACAGAGTATGCAATTCAGCAAAGGCTGACATTCTACAGAGTATGCATTCAGCAAAGGCTGACATTCTACAGAGTATGCATTCAGCAAAGGTTGACATTCTACAAAGTACACATTAAACAAAGATTGACATTCTACAGAGCATGCATTCAACAAAGTTTGGCCTTCTACAGCGTATTATTATATATTCAACAAAGATTGGCTTTCTACAGAGTACACATCCAACAAAGGTTGACATTCTACCGAGTATGCATTCAACAATGATCGACATTCTGCAGAGTATGCATTCAACAAAGATCGACATTCTGCAGAGTATACATTCAGTTAAGATTACAGTACACTGAAGTCGTTCTTTTATTTTATGGAAAATTGACTAAAAACCCTAACCCCAGACACGTGATCATTGGGTTAAACGTATTCCTAATCCGGTTATAGGAGAAAACGCCTTTTAAAAAAAAACATACGAAAAATATTTGAAATCCCGCTTAAACAAAGATCACTTATTGCTTCTCATATCCTAACACCATTTTCTTGTTTCTTCTCCTATCCTAAAGCCATTATCTTGCATTAATAACACTACGGATTAAAATTGATTACCCTTGACCACCAAGCAATGACCATTGCTATACACTACCTCAATGAAACTAATTTCATTATCCTTGTTCTCTTTTGGAAAAAAAATAATCATTTTTTCAAGCTTTCCTAACTGTAATTACATGGGTTTAATATGGTCTTAAATTACGGCCCAAATTAAAAGAAATGTCTTCAGAAATACTCACTGCATAAATGTCGAGTCTGGTTGTGCTGTGTACTTCCGAGCTGATTCACACAAGCAGATGTCTGTTATTATATATCGGTCTTTATCAGTGAGACCAAAAAAAGACACAACGGCTACCGAGTCAAGCATGGAAAACCCGATATGAAACTAGACTAGGCTTTACACATAACGAACTGTTGACTTGCTTTGGGGAATCTCCCTGACTTAAAATTAGAACTGATGGAGAGGGGGTAGGGGGGAGGGAAACAAAAAGGTTAACAGTTTTAAGGGTCGAAACCGGGAGCTTTTGGGAGGAGGTGTCACTAGTGTCCTAACTATGGGGTGCAACGGGGGCTGCAGCATCGGGCGGCAATTTTCTTTTTTAAAAAAATATTTGTTTTTAAAGTATATAATTTTGAGTGTGCTACGAACTAAATTTAGGGAGTGAACCTGGGGATGCATTGATACAGGATATGCCAAGGTATCACACAAAGTCTGCAAAACAGTGTGCTGTGTACTATAAACTTAAGTCATTGCATTGTATGAGTGTATAAGGGAGGGGGGGGGGGCTGCACATTATAGCAGTATCACATAGTTCAACCCTATGCACAAAGAGTGCTTTGGTGTAACCTTGGGGTCCATCGACCTAGAGGTTCTGTTACTAATTTTTTTATTGGCACCTTTATATAACATATTTTTTTTTTTAAAGGGAGAATCACTTGTTTCAGCTTGAGCCCCAAACAGCATTTAGTCAAAATGACGGTTAGTGCAATTTTTGGAGGCTAGCAATGTCTCAATGACGTCATTTGTTATACACGGAACAATAAATAATGTTAGTTCTTATTAGATACAAATTAATTGTATATTGCACACTTATTAAAAGCTTCTTAAATACCAGACAAAATAGGTTTATGTCTAAATTTTAAATATGATATCCCATAACGATACGGTTCTGTTACAGTGTAAAACCTTGACTGTGAATAAAAAAATCTACTGAGGAGAATAGTCCTTCTTATTATCTTATCAGGCGCTTGTACAAATAGATACTCAACTGGACACAATGAAACGTATAATCTCTTGCTCCTATGTCATCGCCTTTGCTGTTGGAAATGGGCGCTTGTCTGAAAGTAACGCCTTCAATATTATGCCAAAAAAGAAGGACGCATCTATTTAGTGTCCAAAAAAAAACGAATTTATTTACAAGATACGCATGCTTCCTAGCACTGGCAGGTGGGGCTACCTGTCAGGTGGGGCTACCTGGCAGGTGGGGCTACCTGGCAGGTGGGTGACATTGCAACCCACTTATTTGGATGTATTTTAGTACATGTAATATATCATTACAGTGCGTCCATGATTAACACAAGACTATTCAACATTACTAAACATAAAATACCCCATTGCAGTGCAACCGTGCCTAGCTCTGAATATTTAACATTTCTAAGCATCAAGATAAAGGCCCAGTCATAAGACTAACACTCTACGATATATTGAATGGCTCACTGTGAACGTTAAAATTAGCGGTGACTGAAAGCCTTATTTAGATCTTAAGAAACACACCGGCTACAGTGCAGTAGGTTTGTCTTAATGAGAACTCGCACGATTGGCTCACTACAAGATTTTGCCTTCATGCTTTTTTTTCTAGATACACCTTAATATTACTACAAAATAATCTGATTTCAATACATTGATAATACAATTTAAATAATTCCGGCACAAGAATCCCACCCATTACTTTACAGGTGTATCAGCTTGATCCGGGCGAATACATTCCCCTATAATAAGGAGTGAAAGATATTGAAGTCCATTTGTTCTCCCCCCCCCTTCAATCTGTCAGAGTTTACCGGGTTGATTCCCATGGACGTCATTTTGAGTAGGGCAGGATTTATAATGTGAAAAATCTATGAAGATATTCAGTAAATGTTGCTTCCGTGGTAATATTCCCTTAGGAAAACTGATTTTTGGCGCATGGCCCAGGGTTACGTCATTTAAATTGTTAGCATGTATACCTTTTAAATGAAAGTTAATATATTTTTTTTTAAACGGTTAAATGATCTCAGAAGACAGAATTATGGAAATCATGCTAATGTTATGAATAATCTCGGGGGGGGGGGGGGGTTAAAAAAACTTT